GTCGGACGCTTAACCGACTGCGCCACCCAGGCGCCCCATTTTTTGAGAAGTTTTAATACATGAAGCAGAAAAATGAAATACCTGTCCTTCAAGAAGTTTCTGAATGTACAACAGCCATTCCCGATCATTTTCAGCATCTATCTTCGTCCTTTCTATTTCCTAAATGAAGAAAATCAAAAGACTGGTGTTAATTGTAAGTACATGAACTTGATCATACTGTCAGGTAACTAAATAAATTTAGAGAGACACTGGCAGAATAGAATTCAACAAAGACCAGCCTGTCCCTCCAGAGGAGGGAATATGCAAATCTGTGCTCTTAATAATACTTTATAAATACTGACATGCAGAAGATAAAGCTCTCTCTATTTCACAATTCAGGAATATTTTATTTCTGCCTTCACAGTGGAGCTCAAGGTAGAGACTGAGGTGGAGGTAAAAGCGATTAAAATCAAGCAAAAAATAAGACAGAGCTGTACAGAGGTGCCTGGCTGGCTGCCTGGCTTGTGACGCTTGATCTTGGCATCATGGGTTCAAGTCCCACATTAGGTGTAGGGATTACTTAATAAGTAAATAAACTTAATAAAAAGACAGAGCTATATAAAATAATCATTTACAAGGGACTCTTGTAAGATAACATAAAACCTTATACTGAAACAATATGACTTGTCAATAGATAATTAAGGAGTAATTGTTACAGGTAAAAACAAAATAGGACGTGGCATGCCACTGGGGTATTTAAATGCTTACTTATTTAAAATATCCAATAACTGACTGATAAGCAAGGGGCTCTTCAACCTAACAGTGTTGTAAGTGCCTAAATATTTCAACCTTTCAATTATCGAGGTAATATATTTCTGAAAGTATAATGCATTCATATGTGCTGTTGATTATTCAGTCAAAATCATGATTCAAAATAAAATAAAATAAAATCATGATTCAGTTTACAAAAAGACGGACTTTTCAAAAAGGGAAAGGTTTTTGGGAAACTAACATTTGTTGAAATTTACTGTATGCCAGGTATCCCACTAGGCACTTCATATGGAGTATCAATTTTTACATGAATTTGCTAGAATTCAGTGTAGCTTAAAGAATATAAGTCAGCTGGTTTGGGCTCTGCTTGGACAAGTCCAGTCAACTCTCTAGACCTCTGAAAAGA